AAGTAATTTTTAGAATAACTTATTTTAATTACTTCCTAATAAGTCAAAAATAATTTTTAACACTTAAATATGTAAGTAAAAAAAATAATAAATAACTTTTACTTCCTTAAAATAACTTCTCCACAAAATATTTGACATTCTTATATTTTGTTACTACTACCACCATCATCCCAACACCACCACCATCACCCCACTGCCGTCCATCGCCAACACCCAGATTATAAAGTACTTTTGAAAAATATTTATTTAAAAAATATTTTTAAAATTTTATAAGTCATCGCAAACACAACTTTAGTTTAATAACTTCTTATTATCAAGGGATGAAAATACAATTTTAAAAAGCTGGGGGGCCATGCCTCCCGACCTCAACGTGATGCGGCCGCTGCCAATAACAATAATGGCATTTTATATCCCTTTGGAATTGAATTGGTGATTATGGAGCTTCCAGAAAATGCCACACCCACATCACCAATGGTTTAGCTCACATTTATCTTTTAACATTTTAAAATTTCAACGATGGTCCATCACTACAAGCTGATGTAATGACATCTCAATTCCAAAGATATGATTTTTGGAAGAAAAACTAAAGAAATGCAACATAAACAATGCATAAGACTCCCCTCTTCTCAGGTATAGGAAGAACAAAGATCAAAATTTTATTTCCATGCATTATTTCGGTCACTTATGAAACGAAAACGTTTTTGGCCCATTTCAGAAAAAAAAATAAAGAGTTTAAGAATTATTTTCCAAAGTATTAATCGAAATATACTAAAATATCTCAAAATATTCTAAAATAATTGTGTAAATGCATTGAAAAATTATAAAACACATCGAAACATTATGAAATACTTCGAAGTATTAAAATTTTGATTTCATCACTGATTCGTTTCGTTCTGCTTGAAAATGGAAATATTTCATACGTTTCGACTATTTCGAAATAAAATATTGATCCATGAGGAAGAGTCAAACATTCGCAACCATACCTTCACATGCAAACAAGCCATTTTCATGAATCGAACCTACAATGCCTAAATCACAATAAAATAACTTTAGTTACGAATGCCTTATCTTAAAAAGAAATTTACGATGAAAATTTTAATTGACAAGTATTTTCAATATACTTATCACTTTTGTACATAGGAAGCTGGTGAGCACCACCCTTCTACAGCTATAGGCAGCTGCAGAGCTTCAAATCAATGGAGAAACGATTTTTCTTTTTCTTTCCTGGTTTTTTTGAGGGGAGGGAGAAGCCTTGTCAATTCCCATGTATATTGCACTCTTATCCATAGTAGACTTGGTATTAACATACCACATATGAACTCGACATAGAAGTATATAAACTTGGTTTGTTTGAGTTTAATCTTAACAAGTCTGGGAAGTAAATTCATAGACTCATTAGTCTCGTCCATTAAACACAACTTATACATTGCATGAAACTGACACCATACAAACTAAACTATGCACAATTATACACATGGGTCGATATGAATTGAACAAATTTTAATACAATATAATTTAGATATGATAGGACCCAGTAACAGCCCTAATCCAAAGCTCATTAAGATACTGGATAGATGTGGCACACACAATTCGTTCCTTTTAGCCAGAAATCTGGTCTTGTTGAGCAGTAGGCCTACTTTGAACTGATCAGCGTTTGTAGGCAACGAGTTGCTGCCTGATTAAGCTTGAGAGCTTAAGCTTTTAAATTACTTCGGTTCAAAATTAAGTAGGGTGACACGAAACGCCCTCTTCACTGATCTCATATTCTCGATGTTTTACCTGTCAGAAAGTGTTAGAAAGTTTAAGAGGGTGGACTTTGACACAACGGTAAAGTTGTTCTATTGTAATCTAGAAATCATGAGTTTAAATTGTGAACACAACCTCTCTTTACTTGCAAAAATAAGGTTGTATATATTTAATCATCCACAGACTCCACAATGATAAAAGTCTCGTGTACTCGGTACGCCCTATCTTTAAGAAAGTTTGAGCGTTTAAGCCTATTTAGAGGAGGGATGAATTTTGGAAACTGTTTAGCCTGATTGAACAACTACTTCTTATACAAAAATGTAAAAAATGCAGTTTGGACGTGTTTGACATTCGTGCTATTGTACAGTTGGAGAAAGATTAGATTTACAAGGCGGGTGGGGAAATATCATTTCCGACTATACTACGAGTATGCATCAGTATAAATTATTAAATTGACATTTTGGTTTTTGGAAAGCAAGAATGTTTGGAGAGAGAGTTTGTCTCTTGCAATAGAAAGACTCAAGTCAATGTCAACAATACTGAAGTGGGCTGGTGAGCTAACATTCAGATGATATTGGGAATACACCGAATTGGACGATGGCCCACCCAACAAAATGGTTAAGATGAATAAGACAATAACATCTAAATCCATGATCGTGGTGATGATGTTTCCATCACCACCTTCTGTTTCCTGTTTCATAAGTGGACAACTCCTATTCAAGGATGTAACAGTTTTAAAAGCTGCATTCCAATTTGCTCATACGACAAATTGGTGGCTGCAGTAAGCATCGTGTCCAGAGACGGCTCAAGTAGCTTGAGACTTAAAATGGTAATTTTAAATGAAGTTTTTTTTAATTATTGTATTAATTTTTTTTATTTTTTATGTGTGTGTGTGAGAGAGAGAGGGAGGTTGTGTTCCAATAGAGAGGGAAAGAGATAGAGGATTCTTGCTAGTGTTGTCGTGAGGGAGAGAATTTTCTGTTTTTGTTTTTGTCTTTTATCAAAAAGTAAGAGAATAAGAGGATTTAATTTCAACTTTTGTTTATGTTATTTAGTACTAGAGAGAGGGAGAATTTTAATCTTCGAGAAAATCAAGAGTCTTTTCACATATGGTTGAGAATGGGTGGGATAAATTAACACTAATATTATTTGGACATAATTTGAAGACTTAATGTATTATGATCATTAAATTAATAGTATTGAGACCCAGTGATAATTTAATATTGGGACCCACTAACAATCTAATGACCATAATAATTAAATTCTTAAATTATGTCCCAATNCACAGACTCCACAATGATAAAAGTCTCGTGTACTCGGTACGCCCTATCTTTAAGAAAGTTTGAGCGTTTAAGCCTATTTAGAGGAGGGATGAATTTTGGAAACTGTTTAGCCTGATTGAACAACTACTTCTTATACAAAAATGTAAAAAATGCAGTTTGGACGTGTTTGACATTCGTGCTATTGTACAGTTGGAGAAAGATTAGATTTACAAGGCGGGTGGGGAAATATCATTTCCGACTATACTACGAGTATGCATCAGTATAAATTATTAAATTGACATTTTGGTTTTTGGAAAGCAAGAATGTTTGGAGAGAGAGTTTGTCTCTTGCAATAGAAAGACTCAAGTCAATGTCAACAATACTGAAGTGGGCTGGTGAGCTAACATTCAGATGATATTGGGAATACACCGAATTGGACGATGGCCCACCCAACAAAATGGTTAAGATGAATAAGACAATAACATCTAAATCCATGATCGTGGTGATGATGTTTCCATCACCACCTTCTGTTTCCTGTTTCATAAGTGGACAACTCCTATTCAAGGATGTAACAGTTTTAAAAGCTGCATTCCAATTTGCTCATACGACAAATTGGTGGCTGCAGTAAGCATCGTGTCCAGAGACGGCTCAAGTAGCTTGAGACTTAAAATGGTAATTTTAAATGAAGTTTTTTTTAATTATTGTATTAATTTTTTTTATTTTTTATGTGTGTGTGTGAGAGAGAGAGGGAGGTTGTGTTCCAATAGAGAGGGAAAGAGATAGAGGATTCTTGCTAGTGTTGTCGTGAGGGAGAGAATTTTCTGTTTTTGTTTTTGTCTTTTATCAAAAAGTAAGAGAATAAGAGGATTTAATTTCAACTTTTGTTTATGTTATTTAGTACTAGAGAGAGGGAGAATTTTAATCTTCGAGAAAATCAAGAGTCTTTTCACATATGGTTGAGAATGGGTGGGATAAATTAACACTAATATTATTTGGACATAATTTGAAGACTTAATGTATTATGATCATTAAATTAATAGTATTGAGACCCAGTGATAATTTAATATTGGGACCCACTAACAATCTAATGACCATAATAATTAAATTCTTAAATTATGTCCCAATAGCATTGCTCGTAAATTAAATATGAGTTAATTTTGGGTAGATTTTTTTTTTTTTTGTGTACTTTTAGTTTTTCGTTTTAAAAATTTTTGAGTTTCTAATGTTATGTTGGATCATGGGCAAAAATTATTGAAATTAAAATTTTTGGGGCCTTTTTGTGGGCTAACGTAATACCTAAAATTATGGATTTTTATGGATTTAAAATTTTAATGTGAGCTAACTTAATACCTAAAATTATGAAATTTTCTAAAAATGTGGGGCTTAAAACTCAAGATTGGGCTGGGCTTTCGTGTGTCTCTCTTGAGTAAGTTGGTGAACGGATATGATTTTAATTTTAATTCGATTTGAATTTGAACCGTTACTCCGATATAGTTGTTATTTTAGACTGTCTATCCAAATCCAATTCTCATCCTATTATATCATATTCGGGTTTGTTTTAATATATACGGATATGACTAGAAAAAATTCAGATTATCGGATTGAATTCGGGTCAATTGAAATCTATTCTGTTGATGCCCTACTTGTAGCCCATCAGGTGAAAACATACCAAGTTGCAGCTAATTAGCCAATTGGGGGCGGTTGTGCTGTGAGTTGTGACTCTCACTCTCACGAGACCAGACCATTATATGAAGTTGTGTAAGCCATCAATTAGTTAGTATGACCAGTAACTACCTCAACGGTCTAAAACCATACATTCCATTTTGTTTCCAAACCAAAAGAAAACTTTCAGTCCTACTTTCATTGCCTTTCTCAAAGCTCAATCTTTCTCCTTACTCTTCTTCACTCCTATCCACTAAAATTTCAAACCCAAATGACACTAACAGCTCCAAGGAGCAAACTCTGCTCTTCCTTTTCAAGAAATGTTCCACCATGAGACATATAAAGCAAATCCATACCCATATTGTCAAGGCTGGCTTTGGTCAGAATCTTTATGTTGTTGGCAAGATCATTGTGTTTTGCGCTGTTTCAGAGTATGGATCAATGGATTATGCCATTTCGGTTTTTGAAAAGATTGAAAACCCGGATGAGTTTCTTTGGAACACAATGATCAGAGGGTTTGGGAGCACAGGTCAAGTAGGAAAAGTTTTTGATTACTATAAGAAAATGCAAGAGAAAGGGGAGGTATCAGATAACTTCACCTTCTCTTTTTTGCTCAAAGTTAGTGGGAAATTGGGGTTAAGTATGATGGGAAAGCAGATTCATTGTAGTACCCTGAAGCATGGGTTGGATAACCATGTGTTTGTGCGAAACACTCTCATTCACATGTATGGTATGTTGAATGACATTGGGACTGCAAACCAGTTGTTCGAAGAAATACCCAAATCAGACTTGGTATCTTGGAATACCATCATTGATTGCCATGTTTATTGTGGGAAGTACAAAGAAGCACTTGATTTGTTCTTACAAATGCGGCAAACAGGCATAGAACCTGATGAGGCCACATTGGTTGTGACCCTCTCGGCATGTTCTGCATTGGGTGCACTAGATTTTGGGAGGTGGATTCATTCTTGCGTTGATAATACTAGTTTTGTCGACATAGTTTCAGTCTCCAATTCACTGATTGATATGTATGCCAAGTGTGGAGCAGTTGAAGAAGCATATGTGACATTCAGTAAGACACGGGTTGGGAGTGTCGTAACATGGAATACGATGCTATTAGGGCTGGCGATGCATGGTCATGCCCAAGAGGCATTGAAACTCTTCTCGAGAATGATACATGAAAAGCTCGAGTCACCGAATGACGTTACCTTCTTAGGAGTATTATGCGCATGTAGCCATGGAGGGATGGTTGATGAAGGAAGAAGGTACTTTGATCTCATGATCAGAGACTACCATATCCTACCAACAGTGAAGCATTATGGGTGCATGGTTGATATTCTGGGCCGTGCAGGGTTTGTGGAGGAAGCTTATCAACTAATAAGAAGCATGCCAGTGAAATGTAATGCTGTTGTGTGGAGGACATTGTTGGCTGCTTGTCGGTTGCATGGCAATGTTGAACTAGGGGAGGAGGTTAGAAGGCATCTTTTGGAGTTGGAACCAGATCACAGCAGTGACTATGTTCTTCTAGCCAATTTGTATGCAAGTACAAACCAGTGGAATGAGGTGGTGAGAGAGAGAAAATCAATGAGGAACATGGGAGTCCAAAAGCCGAATCCTGGTAACAGCATAATTGGCTTACCTGATAGAGTGAGTCTACAGACGGAGCTAACTGATGCTTGTTAGACAGCAACAACTGCTGCAAGTACAACTTGATTTTGTACGTAGTCTTATCTCGATTAACTCAATTCAGTTAAAAATCAAATTGATTCAGTAGGAAGCTTTATACAGAAACAATTTTTATGTCATAAATTGCTTGTTGAGACCAGAAGAGACTGTAAAATCACAAGGTATAACACAGCAGCATGGAGAGTCTACTGCTTTTATCTCAAATGTGCATAGAGTTGGACGATATATGGTACAAATCAGATCCCAGATCTCAACTGTTTACAGAAACAGAGAAGTAATATGATCTATACATCCAAGTTAAGAATTTTTCTTCTGTTTCTTCTCCTGCCACTCATTGATTTCAGCTTCTACTTTTGCTTTCACCCTTGCATGAAATCCTGGATATGGTTCATAGCCGAAGAAAGTTTCAAGAGCCTGAAAGGAGGAGCAAAACAGATTCACCTTATACTTCAACTCAGCTAAATCATTCTCCAATTTATAAGAAGACTAGAAAACTTACCTCCAGCAATACAAAAAAAGGTGCCATAAGGAATGCTTGAACAAGGTTGTCCAAAAGAGCTGGTGCTCGTTTCTATGAAAAACAACTAGTTAAATGCATAACATCATAGAAAAATCAAAGCAAAGAAAGATGTATTAGATTAAAGAATCAGTCACCTCAAATACGCCGTGGCCTATAAACTGTCCAGTCCAGCATAATAACTGAGAGGCCAAAACCACCTGAACATATGTTTGTCACAACTAGCATCAGATATAATTTTCGACAAGATGAAGTCTGCTAATACCTCTCAACTTGGTTCTGATAACAGAAAAGAAATGTTCATTTCAATTGACTGGATTAACTGTTTTACCAATTCATACCATAGAGGTATGGTGATAAAAGTTAGTACTCAAAGGTAAACAAATGAAAACACACAAAGGCATGCCATTCATGCACTCTGAAAGGCTTACAGGTTACCTCCATTCTCTATTTTTCTGGAATCCAAACCAGAAGAGTCAAAATTTTTATACTCACCCAAAGTTTTCAAGAGCTGTTGTCAATTTCAAAAAAGACAAGTCACAAAATCTGAAAGAGTAGTTGAAATTTTAGATGGATCGCTTGTTGTCAATACCAAACCTGAAGCAGAATGACTATGCTGTTTCCCAACAAAAGATCCAGAATTCAGACACAAGTAAATCATCTTTCAAACAGTTCTAGAACGAACTGGCTATTGATGCTAGTCCTTGTTCTGTTTTCATTCTCTCATTAACGGTCTAGCCAAAGTGCCAAATATAAAATAATCAGACAAATTGCAAAATGAAACATCAGTCACATCCAATATATACATGGACACAGAGAGAGAGAAGAATCATGAAGTCGTAAAAGCTAAGACAGCTGAGCTCAAACTAGCCCTTCCCCCCCCCCCCCCCCCCCCCCACAACAACC